TTCTCTCTCTCTCTCTCTCTCTCTCTCTCCTTCTCTCACGATCGTGCGAGTGTATGATCGCGGGCGCGTGTGACAAACGTAGAGCAAAACCCGCTGTTTCAGGCACCAATATCCCACGTCATAACCTGCTTGGTGCTACGAATCTCTGCAAAACAAACCACAAACACGAATGCGGAGAAAATACAGCCCTCGGCACTATAAGAAGCACAGATTATAACTATTATAGGAGCAACTCACATCGCATCCGAATCGTCATCTTCGACGCGCACGATCAAATTGTCCAAGAATGACGTATCGGCCTTAACGGCCGTGAAAGCGTCGCTCTGTTCATGGACACGCACCACCAAATCGTCCAGGCGCGACGTGTCGGCTCGAACGGGTTCGATCCCGGTCTTCTCATCCGTATTCCCATCGGAAGCACCGCCGTCCACGCGAGACGTGTCTGCACTCTCGTCAACGCGCACGACCAAATCGTTCAAATGTGACTGATCGGCGTGCACGATCAAATCGTTCAAATGTGACAGATCGGCGCGCACGGGCGTGACGCCATTGTTCTGATCGTCTGTGTTCCCATCAGCAGCAGCAGCACCCCCTTCCTCCAGGCGTGACGTATCGGCTTTGACGGCCGTGAAACCGTCGCTCCGTTCTGTGTTCTGCTCGACCACCACGTCGTTCGCGTGCGATGTGTCAGCTCGGACGGGTTGAACCCCGCCGTTCCCATTCGATGCGGAAGAGTCATTCGTGAAACCCTTGTTGTCGGCACTCTTGTCCGATTTTGATTTCGATTTGCCGTTTTTGGTTATTTTCGCGCTGTCGTGGCTGCCGTTGACAGACACAACGTAACCATTGGAGTCTGTCTGTTCCGCGGGGACCACGTAATCCTTGGTGTTACAAGAACCCATCACGCTCGTCTGGCTTTGAACCGATGCCCTTCACTCGACTCACACTCTACACCACACGGCACAAAGCACGCGCATGGAGGACAAGAGAAAAAAAATTAAACTAAGCTCGAGAAATCGATGTGTGATCTTAACTCATCAGCTACTAGGCTACTCTTCAACCTACAAAGACCACAGCATTTATGCTTAATATAAGAGGGTCTGCAAATGAATAGAGAATAAAAGCACTCTTGACTCCGACAGCTGATTAATTTTTTTCCTGCCACTAAACATCTATCTAGAGTAGAACCGCTCAAACCAACGTCCACTTGTGAATCAGAAAAAAAAAAATCTGCACACGTCCGCACAATAGAATTCTCGAGAACTTTCAATCAGTAGCAACTACGTTAAAATTTGTATCTATCACAAGCAAAGGAATTCGACAATTAAGTCCGAAGAATCACTGAGAAGAGGACTAAACGGGAAGATGCATAAGTCTAAATGTCACCGACCAAGAACCGATAAAAGATGGCTACATGCAAGAATACCCTAACCTTTACCCAGACTTCAAATCAATATGTGCTCGTGGGTCATTAAAAAAAGGTTACCAAAAAAAAGAAAAATCCACGGCAGAATGAACAACACAAGTCCAACAACAAGCGCGGCGGGGCTAAACCACGTATAAAAAACCCCCCAGTTGCAAACAAATTTAAATACCAGTACCGCGAGTAGCGTTTATTAAAAGTATATTATTTTTAAAAATCTATCCTAACACACATAATAGTCTTAAGATCATCTCCGCCACCTATGTGTCACACCCGATCTCGGCAGAGGCTGTGCCTTCGACTGACAGGCTCGTTTCTTATAAAACTCTTGAGAGAGGATCTTCAAACACAAGCGAACGTGGGACATCTAACAGCCCGAGTCATCATTCCCTCACCGAGGGAGCCCGCCAGCGCCGCCGTACTGTTGGAGTGTTTGCCTGGATGCGTGTGTGTATACACACCGAAGGGGCCTTATCGTCCGCACATATGACTGTTTTGCGAATCGGCGATTCTGCTGGGTCATTATTACGATTGGCTGTAACATTATTAGGGGGACAATCGCTGACTTGAAAAAACCACGGCAGGCAGAATAGTGGCCCGTGTTTCGAGGGAGGCATAGCAACGGCAGAAAACTGAAAGCACACGACGTAGTGTGAGGCACATGCTCAAGCTGGTTCCGATCGCATATCATTTCACGACGATCGATTTCAACTTTGTCATGCTCTCATTTCATTTCGAGAACAATCAAAACACAGTATATTATTATAGATTCAATGAGCAGTCTACTGGTAGTTCTAGAAATGCAACGACAGTATGACACAGACGAAATACGTTGTCAGGAGGAGTTTACATTGGTAAATATATAGGATACACCGAAAGAGCAAGAGAGAGGGAGAGGGGAAGGGGGGGTGAGGGGTGAGGGGAG